TAATGACTTGGCCAACAAGGATAAAGATGCAACAGGAGATCTACAAAATAGTCTAGTGCAGAAAAAGCGTTGTGGTGAATGAAGACACCCATACAGGTTAGCTCTCCTTTCAGTATGAAGATTCCCCTCCCAAACATGACTCAGTGAGAAAGAATTACCAGAAATACCAAATGGAGGGCAAACTGCTCCGTGGTCTGTGTTTCCAAGATCAACTCATCAATGCAGCAATGAAAATGTGAAGGATATGTTCAAAGACCCGAGTTCAAGTCTTGACTCTGTTATCCACCTCCACTGTGTGTCCACAAGAGAATGACTTGATTTTCAGCTCTGTGGTTTCTTCTTCGATAAAGCAGTGATAATAACAGAACCTGCTTCATGCAGCTGTTCTTAGGGGTGCACGGTATAAACAAGATGAGGACCGTAGGAGCATGCTGTCTAGATTCAAATGACCAGCTCTAGCATTCCGTGTTAGGTGGGCTGCTTGTGCTCCTCCTCCCAGCTGTTTTGGGGTCCATTTCCCTAGTGCATGTGAGGAAGAAAGGATGAAATACCAGCTGATAGCAAACTATGAGCTGGTTTCTCTGCATATCAAAGTCCAGAAGTAGTATTCCTTGTTATAAAAGTTGAGGAAACACATGGAAAAGCTTGGCTGCACCACCTAACGGGCATCCACCTAACATGCTGAATGGGCTTCTTATTAAGGAAAAAGAAACAAAACACAGCCAAGCAATCGAAGCCATGGGACACAGATTCACATTCAGTTCCGTCGCAAGTCTGTTGCAGAGATGAAGGGAGCAGTGGCAAAGTGTTAGCCAGGTCTTCCTTTGTCCTCAGCCTTATGGTGCCCAGGCTCCAGGCTCCCTCAATCTTTCCTTCACCTTTGACACACATCATGGGGTCTCACTGGCTCCTCTAACTCTGTGACTCTGGTGGTTCCATCTCATGAAGCCCAGAGAGTTTTTGCAAGTTCACACGGGGTCAGGGAAGAGCCCGCCTAGGTGCAGCATGCCAGGGCAAGCCAGCGGGGGCTGTGGGCAGGTGTGCGGGGCTGGCACGGGCTGCCAAACAATGGAAACTTCCTGTTCTGGGTTTTAACTTTAGTTACCACAGCCAGACAGGGCTGCCAGTGGTGTAGAAGGAAAAATTGCTGTAGCCAGCTGTGCCGTTCACAGTCGGCTGGAGCCTGTGTAGCTCCACATGGTGGTGGAGCCAGCAGCCTGTTGTAGCCAAGGACAGGATGATGGATGAGCTACGCGCTGTGTCCAAGTCGAGAGAATGGCAGAAGTTCACTTCAGGGTTGTTAAAATGCTAATCTGGGTGAGTTAACAAAAGCCTAACAGAAGAGGAATGGTTGAGAAATAAGTGCACTTCATGTGGCCCCCGTGAGGGCCTCAGATCAGATCGGCTCACCATTGGGGACTTTAGCATTGTTCTTCAAAGTAAGGAGGTTTAGTAGCTTTCCTGTCAGTAAAAATGGAAGCAACGTCAGCACTGCTGTGGGCAGGGTCGGCGATGGGGGAAGCAGCCAGCAACAGCTCCCTCAACTAGAAGTGGTGCAGTGTGCTTCACACAGTTATGTAGTCTTCATTCTCACCATGCAGCATGGGAATAAATGGAAGCAGCCCCCTCCCCCGTGGAAGTTGGCAGCTGCTCGCAAAACCACTGGCATCCTAGGACAGTGGCTCTGGTTGCTTTTCTCACTCGGCCTCCGTTCACTTAAGACCCAGAAATTACCCAGCTCCACCTTCATGACAGCCTCATTATACAAGCTACACTAACAGTATATTGTATCATCTTTAATCTTAAAAGCAGGAAGCCTGGACTGCTGTAAATATTTGGTGAAGACAATCTTGTTTTAAACTCTCTGGAATTAAATAATATGCTGCCAAAGAGAGACGTGTGGTTCCGTGTCTGGCCAAGAGGTCTGTGTTGCTACTCTATTTCTTTTTATTCTCACTCATGTTGAATGTACGGAATCGTGTCTTGCCCACTGGGAGTTGGATCACGGGCTACCACAGCTCGTGCCAAAGGACAGGTATTCAATAAATATGGCCTGGTTGGTATACCCCAGTTGTCTCTTGCTTCCTCTAGAAATGAATCTAGAATGTTAAACCTTAAAGCCTATTAATTGAAATAAAAGACAGTATTTTATCTAACAATATGTTAAGGAAGGAGTTCACCTCCTATGGTTACACTAACAATGGTTAGGCATGCAGCCAGGCTCTTAGCTCTCCATAAAATACATCAGAAGAGTGAAAAATGACCCTGTTTCAGGTGCATTTTTCACTCTTTGTATCTTCAGTGAAAGCACATGCAAGAACAATGACTAAGCTAATTACCATGGCTCATTATGACAGAGCGGTGAGGAGTGAAGTACTTCTCTGGTTTCACCGGGTCCTTAAACACTGAGGGCATCTTGGTGCATCATCAAACCTCTGGTTCTGGTCCTTGCCTGTGGCCGTAGGAACCACCACCCCAAGTCCATGTACCCAAGTACAGTCACAGGTAGAGTCCTCTGCAGCCAGCAAGTGGACTGAGGTCCTCCCGGTTTCTAAGTTGCTCTCACTCCAAGGACTAGCAGATTTTTGTCACTACCATCTTTCAAATCCATCAAACCAGCGGGCCATGACCAGATGGTGCTATTAGAGGGCACTAAGATTTAAAAAACAAAAGAGGGCGACATGCCCACAAGTCTAAATCAAACTCAAGTTAACCAGCTGTCTGGCAACAGGGAAGTCATGATGTTCCTGGTACACTGTCCTGCATCACGGAAATGTGCCTCCAAATAGGACAGCTAGGTAGCGTCTCCAGTAGAACTGGGTTCAGGCAGCACCGTTCTGTAGGATTCACTCAGAAATGGTAGCAGGTTGTTAATCTAAATGGACCAACGGAAGAACCACATTTTGGGATGGTAGAGTCCTCCCTTTAACTATCTTTGGAGACCAAAACAAAAGCAGAAACACTAACTGTGAAACACAGCTCAGCGATGACTGAGCTATACTACACTGAGCTTAAGATGTGTAGGTTCCTGGCAATAGAGACCCAAGTCACGGAGTTTATCTGGCCATTCGTATTTACCCAGACCGGAGTCAATGTTTGTGTAATATCTACCAGCTTGACAGAATATGCCTGCCACTCACTGCATTAAACATGACCACACACAACTTAATTTCCTCGGTTAAGGCACCCAAGACAGCAAGGGCCTTTGCTTTTCAACAGCACAAATAATCCAGCATCAAAACCTATTGTCACAAAGCCCTGAAAGGACGGCAGAATCCTCCCTGGAGCTGTCTGCAAGAAGATTTTGCAATACTATAAAGAAAAGAATGCTTGGCAATTTCCCTTTTAAAGAGTCTCCCATTCTGAGGTACAGAGCACAAACCTGGTTAGAACAATGTTAAACCTTTCCCTAGGGTTTTATTTTCCAAATAAACAAAATTAAATCACTTTATTACCCCAATATTAAGCAGCAAAAAAAAAAAAAAAAAAAAAAAGACAACATTAAGAACACAAAGCCCACCCTCTTCTACTGCAGATTGGAAATTCTCACCAGCTAGAAGTTTTGGGGGGGGATTGCTTCAGGCAATTTCCCCCAAGTACACGGAAACAGTACAGTTATTTTTAAGGGGAAGAGGCCTTAATGGCAGGTCCAATCACTGTTTCCCAAGTCTACCAAGGAATTCGTAATAACGACCCCTGTCCCTTCGGTGAGCCTGCCCAGGGACCGAGACACCCATACATGTGAGCGCAGCCTTGAGTTCCTCTGAGGCTGGGACTTACAGCTAGCTACCACTGCCTGGCTCCGTGGTGTTTAGCTTTTTACGAGTCCAGGATTTAAAAAATTACCGGACAGTCAGGGTCCTGGGCGGCACTGAGCAGGAATTTCTCAAATCCATTTCTCCTTCACATCTCCAAGTCCTTTCATGACCTTTCCTTTTGATCCAAGAGTTCTTCGTGACACCTAGGGGAAGCTCTAAGCCTTTGCAAATCGCCGGCGGCGGGCTCTTCTGCAGACCACAGACAAACATCCCGGCTGTCAAGATGGGAAATAAAAAGTTTCCCTACCTTCTCGGAACGCCACCATGGCCCCGCGCCGCGGCTGCCTCCTGGCTGCAGGACGCCCCGGCTGTGCCCGCAAAGGGGCTCAGGCAACATCGACTGCTCCTGATTTGTTTCCATCCATAATTGATGGGCAGAGGGCAGCGTCACACGTCTCCGCGCGCAGCTCTGGCCGCCTGGCGGAGACCCTGTCCAAGAAGCTTCCGCGACGCATTTGCAGCCGGAGAACAAAGCGCAGAAAGTTGCTGCGGAGAGTGGCCGAGAGGAGGAACTGGGCGCCCGGAGGGAGGCCAGCGGCTCGAGTCGCCGCTGGGGAGGGGCCGAGGAGGGTGGGAAGAGGCGGCCTCCTCGGGGACAGGACTGGAGACTGGGACGGGCATGCGGGCGGGGTGGCCCCGGCCTAGAGCCCGCCCCCACCAGCAGGCGCCGCTCCACCCCTGGCGCCCGGGAGGGCAGTGAGCCTGCAGGGGCTGCAGCTGCCTGGCCCAGCGTCCCTGATGCGCTCCCGGGCCCCGGGCTGCAGGGGGCGTCCGGGCTGCAGGGAGATCGCGCGCTCAGCTCCGCTCGGAGCCCTTCCGTCCCCCTCCGCGCCCGGGGACGCAGAGCAGTTCGGGACCCAGATCGTGCACTCCGCCTGGCCGCAAACTTTTCCTCGCTCCCAGCTCCTCTGTTCCCCCCTGGAGGTGGAGCGGGCACGCAGAGCAGGGCCCTTCCCCCAGCCGTCCGCCTAGCCGGTGCAGTCAGCTCGCGCCCCGGGCACCGCTGGAAAGAGCTGCTCAGGGAGGCGAAGGGCTCCCCGGGGGCGCACGGCGCGCACACTCACGAACACACACCCACGCGCGCGCACCCCGCACCCGGGCGCCGCAGCTCAGCCCCTGGGGCTCGGTCCGACTCCCGTCAGACACTGAAACCCTGACCCAGACGCGTAAAGACGGGCTTACCTCATGGGTGGGAGGAGGCTGGCGAAAAAATGGAAAGCTTGTCACGATCAAGGGAAAAAGCAAACAGAGGCACCACGCAGAAACAGATCGCCCTCCGTCGCCCTGGGGCTCGCTGTCCTCGCTGGAGCCTGGAACTTGCCACCCCCGAACCTCGCGGCGACGGCGGCAGGGGCGGCGGGACCGAGCTGGAGCCGAGCAAGCCGAAGCTCGGCAAATGGTGAAATTCGATCCATCTCCGAGTCAGTCCCTCAGCCAGCGGAGCCCGGCTTCCTCCGCGCCCTCGCCAGCGCGCCGCGCGGTCCCACCCCCGGTGCGTGGAGCCCCCGCGTGGCGCCGCCGAGCCCCGCCA